GTTCTGGAGGACAGAGTCCCCATCTACCGTGGCCCCCAAGCCTAGTGTTGTGAAGTCTTGATGCTTTTTTGCTGTTGCCTTAGTGGTATAGTTTCAAACGACGATCAGGTAGTTTCAGTCCCAATAGGCTTCTTTGGGAACATCAAATATTGCCACCAACGGTAAGCTTTTGAGAACCAGTCAACCTTATTTTGCAAGCAGCTGTACCAAGGGGTGGCCTATTCCTAGACTCAAACACTGCCCCCCGAATCTACCCCAAATAAATGTGAACTATGAATGAATAGAGTGTGTGCTTCAGAGCAGACTCTCCAACCTCTTTCTGACAGTCCTCCCATGCGTAGGCCCTTCCTATAAAGAAATTCTCCATCCATTATTTAATCTTTCCTTTCTTCTCTTTCCAGCTCTTGGAGATTTCCCTAAGTCACCATTTAAGGGGAATCTACACCCCCATCCATCCTTTCTATCCATCCACCCATTTCTCCATTGGAAGAGAATACCCACTGTGTAGACTTTCTACATGACCAGGACCTGTCACCATGTGACCATGTTTTCCCTAGTAGAAGGAACATCAAGCTGAATAGGCATAGTCCTGCCCCCAGTAAGCACATGGAACCAGAACGTGAAACTGAGTATGTGCTATTTTGACAACTTATAAGAAGTGTCATTGGGACACAGTGAGAAAAATGATTCATTAATAGTAGGGCAAATAAAGGAAGGCTTCACAGTGGTGGCAAAAACTAGACACTGATAAGTAGGGCTCCGCTGGGTTGGAGAAAATGGGCAAGTGACAAATGCACAAGCAGAACCTAAAAAAGTAGAAGAAACACAACGATCTTGGATGTAATCAACATAAATCAAGCAGCAGGTCGGTATTTGTCAACCCTTTATTTTGAATGTGGCGTCAGACCACAGAGGGCCCTCTCTCTTCGTCTCCTAAGTACAGAACGTGTTGTGCATTTGTTACCCGTATTCACACACAACTAATTCCATTTTCATAAACTTTATTGATTCCACCGTGTTCTTTACAGCTACTGATTTTATATACTCTTCTCATCAAACTGCAAGTTGATTATTTCGCTTTGTACATATTGTAGTAATTGGATTGCTTACTTTAATGACACGATAGTTTTTGCACACTTGGCCAGTGACATTGCTGACATAGCGCACTCGATCTCACTTTACTGCATTGTTCTTATTAATTCTTCCACAGCCAGCTAAGCTGTTTCTCTTGGGAATTGCCTGGGAGGCAGAAAGTCTTATTTCTGTCCACTTTGGTATTCCTAGGGATGAGCAGAATTTTGAATTGGTTTCACTTTCCAGTAAATACAACCTGTCTCCTTGTAAATCGGAGGTTATTCAGTTGTCTACTGCCGTCAAACGAACCACACCGCAGTTCCGTGGCTTCAAAGAACAACAACGGTTCATTGTATTCCACAATTGTGTGGGTCGACTGGGCTCACCTAGATGGTTCTTCTTCTCCGTGTGGTGTTTGATGGGGATGCAGTCATCCGGGGGCTTCACTAGGATGGGACTTCTACGTGGGCTCAACCAGCCTGGCTGGCAGTGGGCACTGGCCGTTGACTGGAAGCTCAGCTGGGCTGTTGACCAGGGCACTACTTTTCTGTTCGGTTTCTCCACGTGGCTTGAGCTTCTCATAGCACAGTCTGGGTTCCAGGAAGGAGCGTATCTAGCCCACAAGAGCAGACACTGCACACCTCTCAAGGCTCAGCCTTGGACATTATAGTGTCACTTTTGTTGGAGGAAGAAAGTCACAGGACCGGCCCAGACTCAAGGTCAAAGTGTATAGACTCCACCTGTCGATGAAAAGCCTGGCAAAGCATCTGCAGCCATCTTGAACTCACGCCAGGCATTGTCCTTTGTAGACGTCAATTTACCTGACACAGTTGTACCACGAAACTTAGCTCTGACATTGCACAATTGTTTCACAAACGTGCAAGTCTACTGCATTTCTTAGAAATCGACGGAAAGGCCAGCACTGCCCCCTCCTTTTTAAACAAGATATCTTACTACTCCGGAGAATAATTAGGTTTTGGAACTCGGTTTCTGTTTGCACATCTAACGCACAGCTATTGATGGCCATTGGCAGATAAGAGCATGCTTGCATTTCACTTTTTCACTTAGGTTTTGTCATATTTGCATTCTTTGTTGAATAATGCACTTGAATCATCTTTTGTGACCTCTGATCAAAAAAAGCTCTAACGAAAGCAGGTTTAAATGGGTTTTCTTAAGAACAGAGATGGAACCATAATTTGTCAATTGTTCTGATCTGATGTTGAGATAAGCTCTTAGCTGTAACGTTTCTCCAAGGCACTATTTTTCTAAGTATTGCCAAATTGGTGAGGCATTCGGTGTAAATTCACTTATTCACTAATTCACCCACCTATCCATCACCTTTTGGGCATTTCCACTTGGATAACCCAGTCCAGCACCATTTATACAAGAGCCCCAGCCCAGCCTGCAGTGACCTCCCAAGCTGAGGAACCGAAATGGACACAGCTTTGTATGCAACACGCTGAACGGTGATGGGGGCAACGATGGTATAAAGCAAGGGGTGAGGGAACACAGGCCAAAGGGCTGTCACTTCTGCCTAGGAGAGTCAGGGAAGGCTTTGCAGAGTATGGGGGGGGGGCGGGAATGGCAAATGCCACGCGGGAGGGACAGCAGCAGAGCTGAGAAAGGTGGGTTGGGGCAGATTAGGAAGAGCATTGAATGCCGCATTTGGCTGCCTACTTATAAATGGTGGTGAGAGGACATAGGTTTCTAACAAGCAAGTGGCACTGTCTTGAAGGATAACACTTTTGTCAGCGTGGCGTGGGAACTGGAGGACAGTGTTTCAGAAAACATCTTACAGAAAAAGCACAAAGGTATGAGAATAGGAGGCATATGTGAAAAACTCACGAATGGGTCAATATTGCTAAGAGAAGTGGCAGTGGCCCGGGAAAGCAGGTGGCTGGCGGCCCACAAGGCCATTCCAGGTGTATGTCCGGGCAACCTCCACCTTGATCCTGGTCTCTTGGGGGTGGAGGGAATCACAGAGCCCCTGGCTGCTGTAACTCTTGGCTCCTAAGGAAAAAAAAAAAACCAGAATTAAGACTTCAAAGTCTTTTATAATCTGTAAAGTTGTGTGCTAACAGTATTATCGCCGTTACAGCGAGATCTAGAATCCTGCAAGTTCTTGGTGGTAAGGAGCCTGTGTGTTTTTACTTTCCTCTAACGGCACTTGGCACAGTCTTTGGTTATCTATACGTCCTCATTAAGTAACAATGTGTAGCAAATAGTAATAATGGTCTAGTTTATTTAATCGCTCTGTTTACTCCTTCCAAGCATTGGGTTCATTTTTCCTCCAAGCCTTGGGGTTTGTGAACGATTTTAAAAGGGGCACCAGAGTTCAAGAGTTTTTGTTGATCTTTTCCTTTCCATTTTGGAATTTTAATCCAACAGCCACTGGCCCTTAAAGGCCACATATTATGAGAATGTAGGGACGAAATTAAAGGTGAGAAATTAACGGGACAATGAGACAACACTTCACACCCACCAGGGCGAGTATAATAAAAAAAGACAGGTAATAACAAGTGTTGGCGAGGATGTGGAAAAATTAGAAACATCATACGTTGCTGACGGAAATACGTTGCCGATGGAAATGTAAAATGGTGCTTTTGAAAAGTTTGGCAGTCAAAATGTTTAACATCGAGTTATCATGTGACCCAGAAATTGCCCTCCTAGATGCGTCTCCAAGAGAATTGAAAATGTATGTTCACATTAAAACTTGTCTATACGTGTTCACTGCAGTATTAATGATCATGACCAAAAAGCGGAAACAATCCAAACTGATGAATGGATAAGCCGAATGTGGTATATGCATGCAATGGAATATTACTCTGCCATAAAAAGGAATGAAGTAATGATACATACCACAACATAAATGGACCTTGAAAGCATTATGCGACATGAAAGAAGACAGTCATGGAAAACCACATATTGTATGATCTTGTTTATATGAAAC